TCCCCTCCCCCCCCCCCCCGGGGGCATTTTATAAGGAAAACGTGGGGGGGGGGGGCAGAAGATGACGTGGAGAGTCTGGATTCTCTCCTCCTCCCCATCCAATTCCCAGAGGGAGGGGGGTGGGAAGAGGGAGGGCCGGAGGGAAGGAGGGGAGGGACGACCGACTGTGGAGGTGCCCCACCCCCAAACCCGACAATCACCCACACTCCTGGGGCCCCTGGGGCCCGGCAGGGCGAGTCCAAGTGTGTGGCTGTTGATTTGTTTTCGATATTTCTTTTCGTGCTGTACGGTGATGCTTTCTTAGTATTCTACACAATAAGAAAAGACAAAGTCCTTGAGATTCTTATGAGTTTTGTTTGAAAACTCTTTCACTATATTTGTTGTAAAGAGGTTTACTATTAAAAGAAAAAGAATACACGTTTCTGATACTTCGGCCTGGGTTTTGGTTTATTTGGCGTGGCTGGGAGGGGAGGAAGGGCTGGTGAGGCCTGCCAGGGTGGGGCCAGAGCTCCGCCTTTCCGGGAGGGGTGGGGTCAGCCTGCAGGGCTGGGAGCATCCAGGTGTCTGGGTGGGGTCTGCAGGTGAGACCCTTCCAGATGCATCCCTAAGACTAAGGAGGGCTTGTCCAGTTGGCAGCCACAGGAGGGATGCTGGAACACAGGGAAGACAGAAATGCCACCCCAGGTCAGGTTCAGAACAGAGGGGTGTTGGGTGTGGGCAGAGCTCAGCAGAGCCCCTCGGTGGCTGAAAAGCCCGCGGCAGGAACTGGCCAGGCACAGGACGGAGCTCCCTCGGCAGGGTATCTGCCCTGGCCTGACTTTGGAAATACTATACGAAGCCAGGGAGCCTCTCCTGCCCTGCTCGCATACTCCGGCACCCTTCTGCGGGGTGGGCTGCCCTTACTTCCGCCTCCTGCCCTGCACAGCTGCCCCGGCCTGCGTGGGGAGGCAGGCGCAGCAGCCGAGGCACTGGCCCACTACTGGCAGGACTTGGCTTCTCCTGAACCTGTCTTGTGCCCAGTGCTGCAGAGGCAAACTGCGTGGGGGCCCACGAACCATGGTGGAGACAGGCCTGAGGCGCCCAGCGTCCACACTGCTGGTTGAGGCTCTGGCTGCTGTACTTGCGGGCTGCTGCCAGCACACCTGGGAGTCGGGCGGGTAACCCGCCATCACCGGGCCTCTGGTTTCCTTGTCTGCAAAATGTGATTGTCTCTCGGCCTTGGCTCCCCCAGAAGGTCACTACAGACTTCACCTCACTTCTCCCTCTGCAGTGGCAGAGCGGACCAGGGAGGCCGGCAGGAAGGGGTCAGAGAATGCCACCCTCCAGAGGAGGCGGCCCCCAGCCACCCCTGCCTGCTGTAGCCCCTCCCTCAGCCAGCCAGATGAGGCACAGGCAGAGGTGAGGGCACATGACTTCGAGGCTAAGTCACTCCTAGTGGCTTCTACCTCTCTCGCCAGC